GCCCTGTTCATGGTTTTATTGTTATACTCCCAAGGGAGGAGGCTGGCAGCAGCAGCCATGGAGAGGCCATGGATTACTCCCTCAAAGCCGCTGCCACCACTACCACCATCACTTGGGACAATAGCTGGCTCATCCTCATTCCTGAGCTTGGCACTGGCAGGGGAAATATAGACATTCCAGGATCAAATCAGAAGCTGGGGTGGCTTTTGTAATTCTGGAAATGTCCATAGGCGCCGACTCCATGGGGCTTGAGGGGGCTGGAGCCCCCTCAAAAAATTTTTTGGGGGGGCTCAGCCCCCCCAATAATCTCGGGCGGGCGCCCTTCCAGCAGAGCGCCGCCGCCGTCCCCCGCCTCCTCCCCACCTGCTCCTTCGCCAGCCAGCCAGCCGCGCGCCCTAATCGGAGAGCCCCGGCCGGAAATCCCGCGAGAACAGGGGAATCCCGACTGGCCACACCTCCCAGCCAGCCAATCGGCTGGCTGGGGGGGCGTGGCTTGCCCTATTTAGGGCCGGAGCCACTTTATTTGCATATTCATGAGCTTATTTATTATTCATGAGCTTTCCCGGGCCCCCCCAATATTTTTTCTAAGTCCGCGTCCCTGGAAATGTCCCTGGAAAATTGGGACACTTGGAGGCTATACAGTGGTGGCCTGCTGGGGAGAGGCAGTGACTGAGGATTCTAAATCTGTTCCACATGCATTTCACTGTTGTTCCTCCATACAAAGGGGACTGTCATTCTGTGAAAGCTTACTAGGGTTTTCTAACAAATAGCTCTTAGCCCCCTCCCATAACTACAGTTCCCAGTGCTTTTTGTGGAAAGGGATGAGCAGGCCCATCAGTCAGTGGCGTAGCGTGGGTTGTCAGCACCCGGGGCAAGGCAAGTAATTTGCCTTCCCCGTAATTTGCGCCCCCTCCACAGTGGGCGGCGACCCGGCGGCTCGGATCAGATTCGCACAGCCAGCACTGCAGTGAGAGAGAGTGAGTGAGCCAGGTAGGGGCAGAGAGCTGCGAGTGTGAGTGCCCCCCCCGATGTTGCGCCCGGTGCGGTCGGCCCCCCCCTGCACCCCCACGCTGCGCCACTGCCATCAGTTTCAAATCCATATAAATGTTAAATGTGCATATGTTTGCATGTTTCATTTCTTTGTTTCGAGTTTGTGCTTAAGAGAAAGAAAGGACTCAGGAGTAGGTACAAGCTACAATATCCTTGTGGTCAAAGCACTGCAAAGGAAGGATGTCTGGATCCTCTGCTGCAGTCTATGGATATGGCATGCCGCACTGGTGTGGCAGGAGAGGACAGCAAGTGTGGTGGGAAGATTCAAGGACGATCCTTGCCCTCAACTGTGTTAAAAACCTTGATTCCCCAACTTATTGTTATTTTTAAAGGATGGGGAGAACCCCCTGATTAATTTGAATCGAATAAGTTATTCAGTGTGCAGCATCAAGATTTAATATGATGCTTTCAGATAGCAAAGGGGAACCAAAGAAAGCTGTGTAGAGCTCTTTGATCATTCCCACAGTCATCCAGTCACCCCACGGGCTTGCCTAGCTGACTGGGCTGGTGCCCTCTGCCCTGCAGGAATTGCTGATCCTTTTTCTTCCTCCTCCACAGGCAGCAGACAGGGCAGGACTAATAATCTAGAGGCAGATTTAAAGTGATCCTGATTAGGGAAACACCTTGACCCTTTAGTGAGCAGATTCTTGCACTGTTCTGCCTTGTAATCCAATAGGCTCTCCTGGCCTTTGCAGGAAACAAACAACACACACACACACACACACACACACACATGCTCCAATCTGCCTTAGGCCAAAGGCATTAAAGTCTTACCGTGTTGGGAAACTGAAGGTTTCTTAAAGGGTATTTTGACACATTTTTTATTTGATTTGCTCATGTTACAAAGGGAGCTGTTTAAAAATGTTTCATCCGTCCTCTCAACACAGGGTTCTTGTGCATGTGGATGGGTTGCTTGGCTAGAGAAGAAGGTTAGCCAGGTATGTGTGTGTGTGTGTGTGTGTGTGTGTGTGTGTGTAAATATGTATACACGGAGACAGAGAGCTATATAGAAATAGAGCCCAGAATGGGTGGGTAGGCAACCTCAGGCCTGGAAGCTACTCCCCCAGCCATACCATCCCTCTCTAGGCCACACCCCTTACCTCCTTGAATGTTTTTGTCCAGCTGTCCTGGATGAAGAATTGTGAGGGGAGTGTGAATGGTTGTAGAAAACCTACTGTACAGAGGTCAAATTTACATTAATTGCTCCACCCATGTTTGTCTCTGGCCTTACCTATCATGTAGCCCCCTGTAAGGTCACCCTGTAAGGTTCCATATAGACACACACACACACACACACACACACACTATGGGTGTTGCTCTGAATTATCTCTTAAGGACTCTGGTTGTAAACAGCAAAAATAACCCTGCTATTGACAGTCAAACTGGTTGGGCAAGCGTGGCCTGGCCAATTTTCTTTCACCAGAAGAAACTGCTGCTGGTGGGCATGAATGGCTGGCCATTGCAGAACTAAAGAAATGGCTAGAGATTCTTTCTGCAAGGGGGCATGTCTTTTCTCCTGCAAACCCCCCCCCACCCCGTGAGGGGTATGCTATCACCCCACACTCTCTGTGTGAATTGAGGGCACTCCCAGATGTTTAATACTGTAAATCAGTGATTGAGGGGTCTGAAACAGGTAGTTGACAACGGGTTTTATTTCTTTTCCCTTGAAAGGGTAAATTTGGACAAAATGTCTGGGAAGGATACAGACTGGCATTTTGATTCCCACATTGCATAGAGGCTTAAAAAACCTGTCTTATAATAAACACCATCTGAAAGCACCCTGAGACTTTCTTCTTTTTAAGAGTACCTGAGAGAGGCCTAGAGAAAGACAGAGGGCTTACTTTTGAATAGATGTACTGTTTTGAGTTTGAGGCATTAGGCTGTATGCTGAGACCCTTCTAGCCCCTGGATCCAGCAAGTGTTAAAATACAGGGTGAGTCTTTTAAAAGAGGCCCCGTGGAACATGTGTATTCTGTATTCATGGGGCCTGTTTTAAAGGACTCACCCTGTATAAGTCAGGCTAGCCTCCTGATGAGGTGATTGCATGGGTGATGGGCCATTAAGGGGAACAAAGGAAAGAGGCTCTGTGTGAGACAGTAAATGATTGGGGCCCACTCCCACAACTCCAGGTAGTTAGAAGGACAAAGCGAGAGTTCAGAGCAGAGAGTGAAGTGATGTGAACTAGAAGCTAGATATAAAGCAGCAAACTGGGAGAAGAATGCCTGGCAGAAACAAGATCCTTTTGGGGTTGTAATACTGTGAACCCCTGCATCATAGGCTCAAGTTGTTTATATGTGTAAATAAACCATATCTCATAGAGACACCACAGTCTCCGCTGTGCCTCATTTCCAAAGGTAACACGAACCCTGGGTCAGCACCTGGAACCCCTGGGATCTTGCATTGCTTGGAGATTGTGGTGGCATATACTCTTAGTCCCAAAGAGCTGCTACATCACTTCCTGAGACAACTGGCATTCAGAGATATGTGAAAAGATCTTCACTCACAACACACTGAGGAATGAATGGGGCTGCAAAACTCTCTATGCATTTTTAATCTCTTAAGTGACCTCCTCCTTTGTCAGATCCTCTTTATAGCCCCAGCATTTTAAAGGTAGCCTCTTGTACTGACCTCTGGGTTCAAGCAGGAGCCAGCGGGCCTATCTGGTCCTCCATGTTCCCTCGCAAGAGGTGGGTTGCTAGCAGTCTGGTCTCGCCCTCCTTTCCAAGGTCATTTGCTCACTGGGGTTTTCCATTGTTATTTCCAACTCTGCTTTCTGTGACGGAATCTCTCATCTCCCTTGAGCCGAGAAGAGAAGGATTCAATTTGAAAGCGGCAGCACGATGACATGAGCATGTTATTAACTTCCTGAAGTTTCAGAAACGCCATTCCACTTGGCTCTAAAATAGCAACCTGTATCCTCCCAGCCATCACTACGCAGATATTCTGGCTTGCATGGGAAGAACGGGACGTGCGTAACATAAATCCTGCTGTTTGCTTGAACCACACAACTTTCAGACCAGTTAAGCTGCCCGCACAACACAGGCTACGCTTCATAAACTAATATGACATCACTTGGGCCATGGCATGCACTCGTTAAATTAAAGTGCTATCAGCAAGGGGTCACCCACAAAAGTGAGGGCTTGCAGGGTGGCTGCTCATCAGTTAAGGAAAAAAGCAAGAACTGGGTCTTCAGGGATAAACCACACTGAATGATAAAAAGGATACCTAAAATATCATTATGCAGCCATACCTTGGTTCTCTAACGGAATCTGTTCTGGAAGCGTTTGAAAACCAAGGCACGCTTCCGATTGGCTGCACTCAATTGGAAACTGCAGAAGCCGCGTCGGATGTTTGGCTTCCAAAGAACATTCACAAACCGGAACACTCACTTCCAGGTTTGCGGCGTTTGGGAGCCAAAACGGATGAGTACCAAGGCATTCGAGATCCAAGGTACGACTGTATGCCCAGGAGAATCATTCCATACAATGTCACATGGAAGATGGTTTCCTCCTGCTCTGGAGGGTAGGACCCAAACCAATGGCTTCAAGTTACAAGAAAGGAAATTCAGACTGAACATCAGGAAGAACTTTCTGTCAGTAAGAACTGTTTGACAGTGGAACAGACTCTCATGAGAAGTGATGGATTGTTGAAGGTTTTTAAACAGAGTTTGGATGGCCATCTGTCATGGATACTTTAGCTGAGATTCCTGCATCACAGGGGGTTGGACTAGATGACCCTCGGGGTCCCTTCCAACTCTGCAGTTCTGTGATTCTATGAATGTTGGAATCGGGCTTTCCCACAACATGTCACACAGGTGCCATCTCTATTGGTTTGTTTTTTTCTTGCACCTGTTGAAGTCATTCCTTTCTCAACCAACCTTTCAAGTGTACATTTTTATCCCAGCATGCGATGGATTTGAAATTGTTCCTATACATGACGTTGTCTTATATATGTTTGAATTGTTGACACTTTTATTTAATAGCAATGTTTCATAGGAAGCCATTCAGAAATGGGAATAGATAAAGTAGTAAATAAACAGAGGGCTGCTGCCAAAATGGCAGCCTGTGCCATTCTCTCTCTGTCAATGATTTCATCGTGCTGTGGATTTCCTCTAGTGTCAGGCCAAGATGCTCTGCTGTCTGAAGTGAAGGAAAAGATAGCGCCCCTCTCCTCTCATTCCACGCAAAGACTCTTGCTTCAGCGCTCCTCTCTGTACGTGAGGGCAACAGACTAGGTTAAGGGGCACAGGGCAAACCATGGGGCAGACACATATACAGATCACATAGAGCAAATTATAAAGGAGACCATATAAGGTTTACACTGTCAATTGCTTAAAAGTTGCCAAACAAGGTTAGATCTCAACTTATTCATTAAAAAATAAAATATTAGTTAGTATACCGAGATGCCAAACTTTAAAATACAGATAAATATACTTCAGATAATTTCCTCAGTTTATTTATTTTAATACACTTATCTTCCACATATTTCACAAAAATTATAGGGACACAAGCTACCAAAATTAAGCCCTTTTAAGTCCTTCAGATTTCAAGTGGCAAGTTAAGCACATGATTCCATCTCTCCCATTAAAACCAATATGACATTAACTTTGGCTGAATCATGTGTCGTGTGGTTTACAATAGCATAAAATAATCCAGTTAATCAGATCATATTTTAAAATAAGCTAAAAATAACACTCACGCCATCGTACCTTAAATGTTATTTGCCATATACGTCAATATTCAGCAGAAATAAAAATTCATTAAAATTATCAGTGAGATCCTATGCATGTTAATCTGCAGTTCCTGCTTGCAAGCTTCCCCCACATCTGGCTGGCCACTGTGAGAACAGGATGCTGGACTAGATGAGCCATGGGTCCCATCCAGCCAGGCTCATCTTATATTCTCAAGTACTTGGAAGTCCCATTCAGTATGTTTAGTCACTAAGTTGCCATAAACCTGTTGTGCTAGTAACTCACCCTTTTCATCTGCTTTATTTTATTTATTTTAAATTTTCTGACATGTAAAATTAAGAAATATTAAAAAATATTAAGAAGCAAGTCCTATTGAATTCAATGGGGCTTATTGCCAAGTAAATGTTTTTAAGGATTACAGCCAAACGCCTTTGATTTATTTTAATAATCCCTGTAAATAATACAAGGCACACCTTTTTTTCAGTAAGTGTACTTGTACCTAATCTACCTTGATTCTCTCCTGATTCGACCAACCAGTCCCACTAGTAGAAGCCTATGCAAGGATTTCTGCCAGCCCAACAGAACTTCCCCTGCTTTCCTCCCTCCGTGTCTCCTGTGCCCTCCAAATTGAATCTGGCTGTGGGGGTTCAGAAAAAACCCAGATCAGCACAGGGAGGGGAGAGAAGACTGTTCTATTAGGCAAACAGAAATTGCTTGGGCTGACAGAGCCATTTCCTTAATGCTACCATTGAACATGACTGGGACGTGGGTGGCACTGTGGGTTAAACCACAGAGCCTAGGGCTTGCCGATCAGAAGGTCGGCGTTTCGAATCCCCGTGATGGGGTGAGCTCCCGTTGCTCGGTCCCTGCTCCTGCCAACCTAGCAGTCAAAGCACGTCAAAGTGCAAGTAGATAAATAGGTGCCGCTCCGGCGGGAAGGTAAACGGCGTTTCCGTGCGCTGCTCTGGTTTGCCAGAAGCGGCTTAGTCATGCTGGCCACATAACCTGGAAGCTGTACGCCGGCTCCCTCGGCCAATAAAGCGAGATGAGCGCCGCAACCCCAGAGTCGGCCACGACTGGACCTAATGGTCAGGGGTCCCTTTACCTTTACCTTACCATTGAACATCCCCTCCAGTGCCTGGAGGTAGACAGTCAGGTTGTGTGTCCACAGCAATGACCAGAGGAGGAATGACCGCTGGGAAGAGTGCAGAGAGAAGAAACGCCATTGTGCATCTGCATCAACAGAACCGGATGCCTTCATCTGTCTCAGCTGCAACAAAACATGTCTCTCCTGCATGGGTTTCTACAGCCACAGCAGGCGCTGTAATTTTCCAATAGTTTGATTTCATGCCCAAAGGGTGCACTTCTCCATTGTCTCCCAAGACAGATGGATGCCAACCACTGAATTCCTCCCATTAATTTAAGTGATCTGTTTTATATATGCATTTCATAAAAAATTATATACCAATTGCTGGTAGAAAAAAAAACACTTAAAAGTTTACAAACAAAGATAAAACAATAAATTCATCACTACTATAATTTAAAACATACAGAAAGTTTAAACCACAATAGAATAGACTAAAACAAATTATGTCATGGGTTCATTCATTGCTACAAAGAGAACTGGTATTAAGAACATAAGAGCCTGGCTGGATCAAACCTAAAATCCACCTTTTCCAGTATCCTGTTCTCACCATAGCCAATCAGATGCCCATAGAGATCCAACACTCAAGGACCTTTGTACAACAGAACTTCTGATTCCAAGCCACTGGTATTCAGAGGCCTGTTTTCTCTGAAACTGAAGGAAGAGCACGGCCATTGAGATCAATTTGTCTAACCCTCTTTCGAAGCCATCCAAGCTGGTGGCCATCACTGCGTCCTGTGGGACCAAGTTCCATGTGCTTTGAGAAAATCTACTTGCCTTTCCTGTCCCAGATCCTCCAGCATTCATCTTCCTTGGATGGTCCACAGTTCTAGTATCATGAGAGGGGGGGGAAATTGTCTCCCTATCCACTCTCTCCACACTATGCCTAACTCCACACGCCTCGCCCCTTTCTCCATGGATTTCAATGGGAAAATTAAATATGAGATTAAATCTCTCCACGGAAACCAACGGGACTTCAAAGTGCTTTGGTTTGGCTAGGAAGTGCCCTCAGGTTTTTAAAACAAACAGTGACAGTTGTGCATTAGGGAAATGGAGTCTCCTACACTTCTCTGAAGAGGTGTTGCTTCCACGCAGTCAGGTTCATGTGCCTCCCTTTCTCTCATGGCTGGCCATTTCCCATTCTTATGCATGCATCACGCAACATTTGTAAGCGTCCTTTTTGTTTTTGTTTTAAGGGGTGGGGGTGGGACGCTGCAATCCCGAGCCAGAGCCTCAGATTGTAAAGCCGTTTTCCTTTTCTTCTCTCTTTTTTAAAAACTACAGCTGAACTAATTTGATGAAAGGGAAAAATAAAATGCAAGCCAGACTAAACACCCAAAGTTCCTACCTGCAACCAGCACTCGGGCTTTCGCAGGCCAAAGTCAACACATGTCAATTTTTAACATGACAGGACTTTTAAAAGGGGGTTAGAGTGCTGAACGAGGAGCGGCTGGAAAACATTATTAATGGATTCTGTCAATTAAAGGCTGGCAAGTCGAGCTTGTACAAAGGTCCGCGCTTCCCTCCCTTTTAAGTTGGTGGAGGAATGATTTATGAGCTATTTGTTTACGGTGTTGTGGACACACAACAGCGTTCTGTGGCTAGTGTACCTTTGTGTTAGCTGGAGGTGTGTCTGTGTGGGCTGATTCACACAAACACTCCGCTGATGGTTACTTTGCTTTCTTCTTCTGCTCATGGTGGATAGAGCCACGAACTGAAGCAACATTTTTTCTCAGAACCCCCCCTACAGGCCTGGTGCCAGCACTTGGCACCCGAGGCCAGTGGTGGCTGGTGGTGGCAGGGGGCGGTGCTTGAAGGTCATGGGGTGTGACCAATGAGGACTCACAAGGGTTCAGTTAAGTTATCTGGTATTCTCCCTTCCTTGCAAAGCTACTGAAAATTTACCAATACGACCCGACTCAACTGAAAATGGCCTTACTTTGGTACAGAAGGGGTCCCTCCTGTTGCAATTTCATGCTGTACATTACTCAGAAGTAAGCCCCACTGAATTCCATGATCCACATCCACAGGATTGCAGCTTGAATTGGTTAATCTTAAAGGACTGTTTTAACATGGGACCCCATCCATTTCCAGATGTACAGAAAAATATCATTCCCCTCCCCCAGCTTATTAACTTCTGCATCTCTTCCGCTCCCCCCCCCCCGAATTTGGAATAAGGTGGATATTAAGCGGACCTTGGATGTCAGGGTTAAAATCAACCATGAAACTCACTGTGTGACCTTGGGCCAATCATTTGCTCTCTTTTTGTATTTAACAAAGTGATTCCACAACAAGTATCCTTTGTATAAACAGTACATCATATAATGACCACAGTGGAAGGTTCTGTTGGATCAGGTCAGGGGCCCATCTGGTTCAGCATTCTGTTCTCACAAAGTATTTTTTAAACCTTAGGAAAAACAGGAATCCTAAATCTCATTTTTTCTCTGAAGAATACATAGTGGATCAGCCTCCACTGCCCTCTCTGAAGTAGATTAGGCTGAGAGATGACAACTGGCTCAAGGTCGTTCCTGAGCTTTATGACTGAATGGGGATCTAAAACTAGGCCTCCCTAGGCCTGTCTAACTGTGTCCTGTCTAGGGATAGGGGAAGAACTGGTTCAGTTCGCATTTTCATGGGAACCTACAACTGATTTGTACTTCCTGAACCAGGAAGTGAGCCTTTGTGATGCCCTGCTCCAGCCAAACAGGGTTCACAAAAATGCATATACTATTTATTTCCATTTAGAAATCATTTCCTACACAACCTATCAAACCAATTTCACACACACACACACAACTTCATATTTAAAAATAAGTTCAAATGGAAAACAGATATGGACTGGAATATCTCCACATAAAAGTGAAAATAATGTGCAATGCTACATAATATTAGGGGAAATGCTTGAGGCCAAATTGCATACAGAAACACATTTTTAGGAACAGATAGGTAGCCGTGTTGGTCTGCCATAGTCAAAACAAAAAAAATTCCTTCCAGTAGCACCTTAAAGACCAACTAAGTTAGTTCTTGGTATGAGCTTTCGTGTGCATGCACACTTCTTCAGATACAATCTGAAGAAGTGTGCATGCACACGAAAGCTCATACCAAGAACTAACATTTTTAGGAGAAATCAGAACAAAAATGCATCTGGGTTTTTGTGCAGATTTTTAAAAGAAATTTTTGCAAATAGAGTAAAGTGATTTTAAGCCTGGAGAAATGAGACAAAGAGGAAAACCAAAACTGGCAGTTGTCTCTGTTCACAGACCTGTCCAACCCTCTTACTACTACACCACACTGCCTCTCAAAAAACTTGTTTTACAAGGAAAATACAACTTGCTGAAACGAAGGAAGGCTCTAGGGACCTTCAGATCACCAGTCCCACACTTTCCCAATGCAGCTATTTCAACATAAGCAGCAGTCCTGCAAGCACTTCCTCGGAAGTAAGTCCTTTTGAACTGGCTGAAACCGACTTCTTCTGAGTAAGCATGCATAGGGTCAGGATGCTTGCCTTCTGATGCAATCCTTCCCCCATTGCATTGCCTGGCTTTACTTTCTCAAGATGACAACCTGGCTAGCTGGCCTGACTCAATTGATAGGCCTGTCTTGTCTTCGAGCCGCCTTATCAGACAACATCAGTGTTGGTCAGACTTCATGGAATTTATTGAGCCAAGCCTCCTTTTCCAATGATTGGCTTGTCGCATTTGAAATGGCTGTTCTGGGTTGTGTTGGTGTGCACGGGGGTGGGATGGAGGGGACTCTTTAATCAAATTATTAGAGAAATTACATCAAGGCCATGAACTGGGCATGTTTTTCCTAACAAGTAACCTGCTGATTAAATGTAAAACGAATGAATTTAAAAATATAAAATGTACCTGCAAATGTGCTTTGCAGTTGGTTAGAGTTCAGCCCATAGTCTAACATGCCAGGGCTCCAACCAGCCTAGAGGTCACACTCGTTTGACCCAAAAGCCCTGCCTTAAGCTCAGGTGAATGGAGACTGGTGGCCATCGTTTCTTTTCGACTTTGGATCTTATAGAATGGATGGGATGGGGAGGGGATGAGTAATGGCTCACACTTTCAATTCCTTAGGCTTCTCTGCACTATGCAGAATTGATCTTTCCCACCTCCCTTCCGCACAGAAGTGAAGGACACAGGAAGTAAAGGGCATTTGTGCTTCACGATCGGCCTCATTCTAGAAGATCTGAAGTGTCTCTCTGTGATGAGGGGATGGTCCTCTGCTGGGGTCGAGTCAATCTGAGCTTCTCATTTTCCCAGTCTTAAACTCAGTTCGCCACATAAGTTTGCAAATGCTTTCAAATATCTCCCTAATAATATTAATTTAACCTCTAATTATTTAATATTAATTTAATATTAATATTTTCCCAATAATGTCATCATTAATAAATAATTTCATTAAAGTATGCATTTAATGTGCACTTTACCTGGTATATGAACTTATGTGCACATTATTTGGTTGAATTCTGAACTGCAAAATGTGTAGCTTTCGGAGGATGAATGCGTTTCAGTTGATGTTTTCTTTCAGGAAAGGTCAATGAGGTAGGTAAAGGTAAAGGTGCCCCTGCCCATACGGGCCAGTCGTGTCCGACTCTAGGGTTGCGCGCTCATCTTGCTCAAGAGGCCGGGAGCCGGCGCCGTCCGAAGACACTTCCGGGTCACGTGGCCAGCGTGACGAAGCTGCAGCTGGCGAGCCAGCACCAGTGCCGCACACGGAAATGCCGTTTACCTTCCCGCTAGAAAGCGGTACCTATTTATCTACTTGCACTTAGGGGTGCTTTCGAACTGCTAGGTGGGCAGGAGCTGGGACCGAACGACGGGAGCTCACCCCGCCGTGGGGATTCGAACCGCCGACCTTACGATCAGCAAGTCCTAGGCACTGAGGTTTTACCCACAGCGCCACCCGCGTCCCAGGTAGAGGTAGAGTCACCTTCAAAAGGAAACTGAGCCAATTTTCTCCCTCAGTTGTATGCAATGCATACTATTAAAAGCACTGCCTGCTTTAATATTATGCTCATATCCTGGGCCTGAGCCCTACTGTTCAAAATACAGGTGGGGCCTGTTTTAATTTACACCCCTGTGGCAGTAAGAACAGCCACAACACATTTTCCCAGCACTCCAAAACTGCACCCTCAGGATGGTTTCGGCAAACCATTCTCAATGGAAGGTCCACATGCAATCTCCTTGGCTTGGGCATATCATCATCATCATCATCATTTAATTTGTATGCTGCCTTCCTGTAGTTAAAACCATGCTGAAGGCAGCTTACAATGAGAAAATTTTTACATTATTACAAGCATAATGAAAGTAGCCAGAAACAACAAACAAAACACATCATCAAGTACACAACAATAATCGAACAATTTCCACACAAATCATTATAAGATTTAAAAATAAAGATACAAAAAAAAAAACATCAACAACAAAAAATGGGTTGGGGGGGGGAACCCAACAAAACCCCACCAGCAATACCCCAGCCCAAAAGTCTGTTCAGCAGCCTCAGTTTTTGGAGCTGGAGTCAGTCACGGCCCCACCTTCCCTGACCAGGTAGAAAAGGCCTGCAAGGCAGGGAGCAAGTCATTAGGGCTAACAGCCAAGATGGTATCTCGGAGTTACAACTTTGATCCCTTTAGGTGGGCGTTGTGCTATTTTGCAGAGGTTACACATGTTACAGTTTTAAAAATCCAATTCCAGTTTGAAGAGGAAAACAATAAGTTTGCAGCTTACATGCATTTAATGAGCACATTCAGCTTTATGCACCTGGTAAAAATATTTTATTTTATTTTAAAGTGGTGGGGTTTCTGAGAAAATGACTTCGACAATCCCACCCACCATTGAACCCAATGGGTTTTGACCAAATATGATATTGGCTTTAGGCATGATCTCTGGAAAGTAGCCCCCACATAAACTAGGGGCTTACTGTAGTTTCTTGCAGGGGGGTGAAAGTTGGGGCAGGGAGCAACTCAAAATACAGCCCTCTCCTGGCCTTACCCAGCAGCAGATTGCTTGAAATAAGGTAGGCGGACTCTCGTTCCAAATGGATGAGCAAGTTTTTGACCCAGTTTGAAACATTCCCAAAGGATCATGTGAACCAACTCTTTAAGAAATGAATTATAATTTTGGAAACATAGCAAAGGCAGAGTCAGTTACATCTCGACATTCTCAGGAATATTTCTGGTCAAAGGGATTCCTTTCTTCCTGTTTTCCTAAAGTATCTTTTTACTTTAAAAGGGGAGTGAAAGGAACCGGTGAGCTTCAGTCGGCTTCTTTAGACGATGCTGCCCTGAGACTGGCCCATAATATGTGCACATAAGGCACACAAGGAACTGATTTGAAGCGGAATGGTGTGTTGTGAGGGGATCGGAGGGGGGAGACTACATAGACACACAAAGCACTTGGGGCCTTTGAACCACAAGGACAAGGAGCTGGCAAAGTGAGGAGCTGGAAGTTATTGTTGGCACAGAAAATCCCTGTTTGCAGAAAAAGAAAGGTGGGTAAAGGGGAAGGAAACATTCCATGAAATGGGCATCAAGGCAAAACAAAACAAAAAATGAAACAAAACATAAAACCCCTGCTTTCCCCCAAAGAAAAGGAAACATCAGGAAATGCCTGGTCTCAGAAAGTCAGAGGGAAATGCAATTTGCCTACCAAAAATAAAAGGCACAGTAAGCGAAGATTGACACAAGAGAGGAAGTAGTTGCTCATTTCTTCTTTGACACCTCCAGCGTCCAAATAAAAGTTTAGATCTGCCGCTCTTTGTTTCCCTCAGTTTTGCCCCTTAGGGCCGTGCCTCTCGAAACTGTTGTTTGTTGTGCGTGCCTTTGACAGGAGGCAGATATGGAGTTGGACTACAAGATTCCATTGACAACTAGCATTAAAAAAGAGAAGGAAACTGTCCCATGCATGTTCTCCTTCCGACCGTAATGTGTGCGGCTTGAGGTTTGCCCTTTAACATCTTTCTCCACAGTGGAAAAAGGCAATTTCGCCGAGATATGGTTCCATGGGGATCCATGGGGCATCTTCCTGAATCAGGCTCCTGGTGGATAGGAGCTAAGCAT